GGGGGGGGGGGGGGGAGGGAGAGAGAAAGAGAGAGAGATGGGATTCCTTAAAAAGACTTTCCTGCCTAGGCTTTTTTAGCCCAGGGAGAAATGTGTGTCTCTCTCTGTGTATATAAAAACGTAGAATTATCTCTCACTGACAAAGGAACTGTCCTTTTTTCAGTGCATGGAATGATTGTGATGTCAGAAGAGACTCAGCCTCTTCCTCCATTGGCAGGTTGTTAGGACTCATTTGCATTTGGATAGGGGACCACCAAGAAAGAACTGGAAAATGTACTGGAAATTTGGAAAAACATTCTGGAGAAGATAGTGGCAAAGCCCTTCTGTGTTGCTGCTATGAAAATCCCACAGATGCTTCCATGAAGTGACTTTATTTTTTAAACAATCTTTAAAATATAAACTTAGGATGAAAAATAATTATCCTTATCAAAAGTCAACAGGAAAAAAAATTTGGCTTCAGATTCTTCAAAACACTTTGGTTTCTCTGTTGTTTTTAAAAGCAACTATTTGTCAGCATTTGTATATAAAACATTTTTTACTAACCCCCAAAATATAAACCATTTTTAAACTATCCTTTAACTTAGAGAGAGAGAGAGAGAGGTTTACTATGAAACTCTTGAACTTACTCAGGCGCTATGCAGCTTCTTTGGACGTAGCCATCTGTAAAATTAAATCATATGTACATAGTTATTTTCAACTTAAGCTGACATCTCAGCTAAGAGAATCTAGACAGAAGAAAATTCTAATACAAAAATACTGTTTGTTATCTTTCAGTTCCATCTTGACGATGTGAGATGTAGTGGCATTTTGCTGGAATGAAGACTATCTGTGAGATGCACAAATTGTCCATCCATTGGATAACAATCAGTTAAGTTCACACATTATAGTACGTTATTTTTTTCTATTTTACAGCCATGTATAAAAATCAGACAAAAGTTTTTTTTTTCTCACATCACTTGCTCTATTTTTGTATTGGACCGAAACCAAACTCAGTGATCAAGAGACGAGCTGCTAATCACCAAGCATGCTTCAATTCCATCAATGCTTCCATTTCCCAGTTCTGCAAAACCAGTTTGAAGATAACCTGAAAACATCCATTTTGGCCAGTCACAGAACTCTGAGAAGGAGTGAAAATCACTGTCCCAACCCAAGTTGGTTGTCACAGGTCCTGCAGCAAAACAAACACACACACCCCTCTGTGCCACACCTTCCTTATCCTTCCTTATCCTTCCTTTGTGTAGCTATCTGCATTGTGGTTCCTATGGTTGGGAATTAAACACATGGTACAACTCTCTTCTCCTTGGAAGACCTGCTAGGATACCTCCTAGCCAGGAGATGAAGCCTATAACGGTATGTGGGAATGACCTTGGGAAACAGGAGGAAGAGCTGCAGTCTAGACAAGCATCATGCAAAGGTATCTCAGCCCACAGAAGGAAAAGGGATATGGGAAGTGTTTCAGAAGGGATCCTCCCTAGTTTTCTGGAGAGTAAATGTATAGGAGGGGAGGAATACTTGCAGACTTGCAAGATTCTGTTACTGTAACCTTACAATAAAGGTAGTGTTAGTACTCATGATTTGCTCTTCTTATCTGGATTACCTCGAAGGGCTGACACTGTCAAACAGGGACAACATTATGAGATCATATTTGTGACATTTCCACTGGAACTGCAAGGTACATGATGGCTCAGGGGCATGAATTCTTGCCTCATCCCATTTCCCAACAAGTATCTGGAAGGCTGGTGTGGGTCTTCCGGGCTGTGTGGCTGTGTTCTGGAAGTTTTGTTTCCTAACGTTTCGCCAGCACCTGTGACCGGCATCTTCAGAGTGCAGGAGCACAGACAGGAGCAGTTCTCTCTGTGCCCAGGAGCACAGACAGGAGAGAACTGCTCCTGTCTGTGCTCCTGCACTCTGAAGATGCTGGTTACAGGTGCTGGCGAAACGTTAGGAAACAAAACTTCCAGAACACAGCCACACAGCCCGGAAGACCCACACCAGCCTTCAAGATACTTGTTGGGAAATGGGATGAGGCAAGAATTCATGCCCCTGAGCCAT